ATCTGAGCATAATGACTTGACTCAAATGGTTAAATTGTTATAAGTCCCAAAAGTCACATAAATTTCAGTCCACCTTACGCTTATGTAAAAATGATATTCGTATCCATTAAACTTTAGGATTATATAATATAAAACACACAATATTATTTTAAGGCACTGCACATTATATTTCACTGTTAACAGTTTTAGCCCCGCCAAGACATGATGTTATAGTTATATATTAAAGGGACAATATGTAAGAAATAAATATATATTCTGCAAAAGTGTAATAACTGTTAGGAATCCAGTCTGTGTGGGTTGTGTTTTTGTGTTTTCCCCCTCCACCACCAGGTGGCGCCCCCCATTACTGAGGACTTCTTAAGCGGTGGACTGCCACTACTTTGGCGCCAGACTGTTTGCCAGTTTTGGGTCCTCTAGCCAAGCTGAGTTTAGCTGAGTCTAACTGAGTCTTTGTTTCTCTGAGTCTAAAGTGATTTTTGTCTTTTGCCTTTCAGCAGGAAGTCATCCTGCATACTGGATGTTTGGCCTTCTCCCCCTGGAAGGATTGTTTGAGCTTCACACTGAGCAGGGGATTAATTTCCACATGTCCTGTTCAAATTCTCCAGGAAATCTAAGTGGCAATCCTCTTCATTGCTCCTCAGGAACCAACCAAACCAAAACCTGTCCAACCTCCAACGAGCCCCTCTATCTCTGGAAAAACCCACACCGACTGGATTCTGGGAAGAAACCTTTCTCTGTAATCGTGAGTCCCATTAGTCTCTGTTTTTGCAAGAAGCCGTTCAAAGTTCCCACGGACCCTGAACTAACCTCTGTGAACTTCCCTTCTCACTTCCAGTTCCAGTTCACCAGCTCTCTGAGTTCCCCAGAACCCAACCCATTTGAACTCCTCAATACAGCCTGTTAAACGTTTACTCTGGTTTCTCTAAGTCGTTTTCTGCATGTGGGTCAGATCTCTTAAAAACAACATGAAAATAACATCACATCAAGAATGAAATCCTGCTCATAGCTTAAAGTATTCGTCTATAAACATATAGAAGATGGTACAACCAATAAAGACACCATGTTGTGTAACTATTTTCTGTCAGAGAAGCCAAACTCTTGTTATTTTGTTAGCCTAAAGTGGATGAGCTCCAATGCAACAGTTATCAGCTGCTGTTATTTCTCCCAGAAGTAATACGACCAGGCTTCTTTCAGTCCTGATTTCAGATAAATATTCTGTGTTTCATCGTTAATTTTAACTGATTTTAAAAGGCTAACAGAGAAGAATGGAGGCATCGGTCTGCCGTTTGTGAGTTATTCACTGCACCACTTGGTGGAGGTGAACCTTACACACTGTCCCTTTAAGCTTACATTTTGATAACCATATGAAGTGAATTTCATTCATTTATTGTCACAAGCAGAGACATTTTTTTGTAAATAGAAATAAAATAAAAAATGTAATGCAAATACAAAACTTTAAAAAAAGTTTTGATAGTAAATTTACTGATTCCTCTGATTTCATTTTAACATTTTACTTTTTTCACTCTTGATAATAATTTCTTTCAAATTGAGTTTTATAAATTGCATTATTTTTAAGTAGCATTTTACTGTACAGGTCACATATCTTCTGGGGGTGGGCTTTCCTCTGGAGAGGGGAGCAAAGATGCATTTCTATTGGTCTGCATGGATGTTAGCCACAACATTTTTAACTGGTCTGGAGCGAGCGTTTGTTTTTCGGCTTGAAGTAAATGGAAGGTGATCTGTAAAATGCAACCGGGAAAAAAAAAAATCCAAATCGGAAAACTCAATTGGAAAAACAGAAACATAAAAAAAGGTGAAAAAATAAAATCAGAGAAAAGCTACTCTTTAAGTCTTTTTTGATTATTTTTTCAAAGTTTATTTTTGAATTACATTTTTTTATTACCATTTAAATGTGTCCTTTGCTTGCAAAAATTATTGAACACATTTCCCTCCATAACCACATAAATGACAGTGAAACTGTGAAAGATTAGAAGTCATTCAGTTACTTATAGGTTTTAAGAATATGTCAGAACATTTAATTAATTTCCTCTTTTATTCATTTACATTGTTATTTCTTCTTTTAACAGATATCTTTTTTTTCATTTACTCAATTTAAAAACAGCTGGTTACCACTTGACCCAAATGACCCTTTTGCTGAAATAGACATGCATCAATGGTCCATCACAGCTCCCATTATTTTCAGGGCCTCCAGAAATGTTATTCAAAATCAAAATTTTCCAGCAAACTCCATTTCATCTGCCAATAACATTTTCCCACATGAATGCATGAATTAACAAGCACATAAAAGAACATCAAAATCAATAGTTGCTGTTAATGTAATATTAAGTACCATTTGTCCCCTTTCTGCTCCTTCACCAGCTTGGTGCAGAAGAGTTTTAGAGTGAAGTATCTGTTGCTACAACACAAACATACACCTCAGTCAAACACATTTATTTTTATGGAAATTAAGCGTTTGTGGTCTTGCCTATTATTTTCTTCTGGCACAGAAAACATTGGAGCGAAAGCATCCTGTAAAACAGAAGAGACAGGAAGAAAACAAACATTTCATGGCTTTACATCTCTGCAGGATTCAGTCCAGTTGCTTCAGGTTCTTTTTTTTAATCGCAGTCACACACAGTCTTGTGTTTGCAATGGTTCCTGTTATCCAGGAACAACCAGAAAAACCATACTGTCAGATAAAACACATTTTTCATAAATTTTTTTCATAGTTCTGTAGGAAGAATTAAGACAAACAGATTTCTCTTTCCGTTTTAAAGATGCATGCTTCAGTCTTCAGGATAGATTCACTGCATGTATCCAAACATAGATGCTAAAAAAAAGGCTTATTATCATCAGAGGATCTTTGGAAGATGAAGATTTTAAAATGTTCACAGGTACATGTCAGTAAGTCAATATATCAACAAAAATTATTTAACTAATTGAATAAAAAGAAACTCAAATTTACATAACAGAATTATTACATACAGAGTGATATATTTTAAGCAAATATTCACTGTAATTTTAATGATTAAGACTTAAATCTAATAAACAACCCAAATTCAGTGACTGGAGAGCGCCTAAAAACACATATAACTTCTTCACTCTATATCTATTTATACATTTAAAGTGAACTAACCATATTCATTTCTAAGTAATGTACTTTTTAAAAGAGTGATTTTGCATTCTGTATTTTAAGGGCAAATTTAATAATTAAATCATGTCTTACATGAAAAATAAATGTAAATATGTATATATGTATATATATATATATATATGGCAAATTTAATAATTAAATCATGTCTTACATGAAAAATAAATGTAAATATGTATATATGTATATATATATATATATATGGCAAATTTAATAATTAAATCATGTCTTACATGAAAAATAAATGTAAATA